TTTTAGAATTTAGGTGCAAAAACAGCGAGTCCAAACACACTGAAAAAACTTCAGTATAATTGAAGGACCAGTTAGCTGCAGTTATAATAAAACTGTCTCTTATCACCATATTTATTTTATTTTTTTCCAAACTAGGGCATTAATGGGGCCCTGCTCCTATCAAAGGTGCATCACAGGCATGCTACCTTTGATTCAGGTTTTGTTTTTGTTTGTTTTTTTGCAGTGCACAGAAGTGCAAGCCTATAAAAGAACATCTCGTAATCTTTTATTGATTTGGTGAACCAAAGGCGTTATAGCTGGACAACGCCCACCAGTGTTGGTTGAGCTCATTCCTATTACATGAAGTTCCTTTTAAAAGAGGTTCATTTTTCAGTCACGACTAGTAAAAGTTGTGAGAATGTGCTCTGAAGTGTCTTTTTAATCACTCAAAGAAGCAGAAATAAACCCAACTGGCTGGTGAAGGGTGTGACGGGGTCGACCTTTTAACTGTTGTAGCAGGAATTGCGTGATATGGGTGGGGGGAAAATCTGTGGATATTACACAAAGTATTTTGTGGGTATCATTAATGTTTTATACTGAAGGTGACATGTTCACACATTTATTGACAGTTAGAAATGAGCAGTGAAACATTGGTTGATCTGATATCCTCGTGTTGGTGTTGTTCCCAGATCATCATACTAAATGTTGTTCCAGGATCAACATTGCAAGTGACCAATCAGAATGTTGTGACGTCATACTTTTGCGACTTCGGGAAAAACCGGCGTAAAACAAAAAACTGTACTTAAACTGCGTGAAACCGCCTCTGTCCGCCCATCAACGGACCCTGACCCTAACCGTAACCCTTTAATAAACAGTAAGCAGAATTGATATTGTCCTTGCAACATTGGAATTTCGTAAATGCACGAATGGCAAAGGAATAACGTCACAACAATGTGATTGGTCACTTGCAACGTTGAACCTGGAACAACATTTTCATGATGGTCTGGGAACAACACCAACACGAGGATATCAGATCATCCGTGAAACATATTATGTTCAGGAAATTGTATCATCAAGCTCACAAATGAGTGCATTTGGTTTGTCTTATTCATCTCTGGTATTATAGATTATTTTTTTCAGTGGTGAGTATAACTTGTTTTAGGAGCTGATTTTTCTAATTTTATTTGCACATTCTAAACCCTTCATTTCCTGTCTCCTCTATCCCAGGACAACTCCCACCTTCCTCCTCTTCCATATGTGATTGGTCTGACAGGGGGCAGCGGCAGTGGAAAGAGCGCTATCGCTAAGCAGCTGGAGGCCTTTGGTGCAGTTTGGATTGACTGCGACAAACTAGGCCATGAGGTGTACCAACCTGATGCAGCGGCCTACCACAGAGTGCTCGAAGAATTTGGTTCAGGTAGGGACACCTTCACTTGAGGGTATCGTAGTGGAAGGGTCAGTCTGTAATGTTTGTGATACTTCACACAGTTGATCTGTTCTTGATTGGGGAAAAAAAAAAGACAATAAGACTTTGTGTTTTTGCTTTCATACTGATTGCTATAATGCACACACTGTAGTCAGCAAAGGTCATGATGTCACTGATTTGATTTTGATGAAAGCTGACTCCTGATTTTTATTCATTTATTTATTTATTTATTTATTTATTTTTGGCTTGCGTTGACCACTGATGAGCTCTCTGTCACGATCACTTTTTGATTGATGAGCGTTTTGAATCCTGTTCAGTTTTTTGTTAACACTGGTATGTAGTGAGTCACACAACTGGCAGCAAGTTACTTATTTTGTCATGTTAACTTGTTTTGCATTCAGAGGAGAATGACCAGAGTGCTGTCATGTCAATATGGACTCTGCACAACACAAGAATTTAGTATACTGACATTCAACAAGATGTTTTCCTGTCAGTGTTAAACTGTATGTTGTGTAAAACTGTGCAATAATGAGTGTCTTTTCCACTTTTAGATATTCTAAGTGAAGATAAAACCATCAACAGGCGTGCTTTAGGAAGAAAAGTCTTTGGAAATCAGGTAGTATGGATAATATTTATTTATTGGATAATATTTTAGCACTTTGCAGAATTGCAGGTAACGTGTCAGGTTTCTCTCAGAAACTTACCAGAGATGTTTTTGTTTTTTGTTTTTTTTCCCCCCAACAGGTGCGATTAAAAGCCCTAACAGACATTGTGTGGCCTGAAATTGCACTTCTAGTGCAAAAGAGAATCAACCAAGCCAGAGACGAAGGTATAGTATGAAATTAAATGTAATAACTGACAACTAAACATTGTTGCCGTGCGTTCATTTCTTAAATATAAATGCATTTAGGGGGCATTTTACTTTTTTTGGTAGTTCATCAGATACCTACAGAATGTCAATAATCATTTAATTGGCCTTGCAAATATGATGCTGTTTTTTCATCTGTTAATTTTTAACAGGGGTTGTGATTAATTCAACTGAGTGACAATTGGACTTTTTAGTAATCAGTAAATCCTGACAAGTTACATCTGCACTGTAAGGATTAGTGGAAAGATTGTGTACTTGTTCAAATATTTAAGCTTTGTAAATTCTTAAACAAGTGAACTTGTGAGCGAGTAAAAACTTATTTTTGAAACTCGGTAAATGGCTGAAATAGCTGAGTGTAGTGAACATTTAAAGTGGGGAAGCATATTTCTCCTTCCTGTTTTGTTGTAGTTTCTAAAGTTAATGTGATTCTTTGCAGATAAGCAGGTGTGTGTGGTGGATGCAGCAGTTCTTCTGGAGGCCAAATGGCAAAACTTGGTCCACGAGGTCTGGGTCACCATCATCCCAGAGGAGGAGGTAATGAAATTGTCCTCTGCAAAGTTTTCTTTGCAGTTCGTCACATCTGTGTTTTGTTTCTATAACTCCTACAAATCCTAAAGCCAAATTTTTAATTGAAGGTAAATATTTTTATTGTGTAAGGCCTGTTTTTTAAAAAACAAAACTGATATACTGTTTTCTTTAATATATCCACTGGGGGGTGCCAAAGTATAATTTGAAAACTCCACCTAACACGTCTCCCCCCTTCTCTTAATTCCCATCTTTTCTCAGGCGGTGTTGAGGATAACAGAGCGTGATGGGGTCACCACAGAAGATGCCCTTCGCAGGCTGCAGAGCCAGTGGTCCAACAGCAAACAAGTAGAGCATGCTAATGTGGTACTCAGCACACTGTGGGAGCCAGAGGTCACTCGGAAGCAGGTTAAACACACCTTATCCTTTCAGGATGAAGTCCACGTGACTGCTTTATGAGAAAAACAGATTTTGCATTAATTTTTACTCCTCTTCTCATTTAAAAGGTGCTGAAAGCTTGGAATCTTCTTCAGAAGAGAATTCAGCAGAAGCATGAAGGACATTAGAATCATATTCGAGGTCTCTACGTCACATCAGCTGTGACTTTGTAAGCATGTGCCAGGCCAGAGACATGTGGACAAATGGTCCTCGTAAGGAATACGCTGCCTTAGAAAGGAGTGTGGGTGGTCACAGGGAAAACCCAAGAAGCTCCCTCACTTCTTTGACCAAGACTCAGTGCCTGATTGAGTATCCACAGGTTTTTAAACTCTAGTTTTATTTCAGTGATGCTTACTTTAAAGATGTAAAGACTCCACAAACACTAACAGACGGCTTCTGGAATTTTTAGTCTAAAATTCCTGTTTGGGATTATTATTAGACTGTGATGTGCAGATGGTATGAAGGCGCCCTCCACACTATCACAGCACCAGCCTGATGTATTGATACAAGACGGGATGGATCAATACTTTCATGTGGTTTACTATCAATTATTATCAAACACTTGTTGTTAGGTGTGATCTTAACTGATGGCCTCTTTTCATCCCAAATTTTATTTGTTTTAATTGACCGGCATGGTTTACCGATACACCGACTGCAATCTTGCATTAGTCTTTCTCAGCAAATTCAAAAAATTTGGGGCACTTCAGCTGACACTTTGCAGGATTTGTCCACTTTCTATTAATTTTTATTTTGTTTCCTTTTTTTCTTTAAAGAACAATGAAACATAAGGGGAAATGAGTTAATGATACTATGTAACTGTAACTGTTTTCTGTCCATGTTATTAAATTATTCATCTTTGAGGTTTTGTATATTTAGGAATTTTTGTCAATCTGAAGAGCAATTATATTTAGTGAAATAAATACAATGGGCACTATAAACATTTCTGATGTAAACCTGAAGGATTGCTGTGCAGACTGGTGAAGGAGGACATCTGAAATGCATAGGACTACACATTTGGTCTCAGTGGGGGAAGCAAGGTTATAGAAGCTTGTTTCAGCCATTTCTTTTCACCCTTAAGCCTCCAGGAAGCAGCAAAGTTGACATTTTAATAATAACTAATGGCTGTAAATGTGCATTTAAATAAATAAATACTTTGCTGTTTTAGGAACACTACGTATTACATGGCTTGTTCTGTGATGTCAGAGAAAATGTATATTTTAATTTAGTTTTAGATGTCTTTACTTTTTTGACTGCTATATAAATTTGCATAAAACAGTAAATGAAATGTTATCAACCCATAACAAATCTCTCAATTTTCAAGGTGTAGGTTTTAAAGCTCTTGTCACACACAGACACTTGCATCAATACCAATTAGACAACATTTAAGCTAGCTGCCGAATGCTGTACAGATTCCCTCTGGCAGATCTGGCATAGATAAAGGATATCTACAGGGTGTACTGTCGGTTGCACGTTTTGGCATCTGTAGGTCAGTAACTACCTGATGATTGTTGCTTTTGCTTCCAATGTAAGGGGAGGTATTGTGGCGCACATTGTCGTTTTGGGCAGACCACTGCCATTGGGGAGTGCCAGGAGGAAGGTGTGTTGGTCTGCAAGAATATTTTGGGTAGGTATGAGTAAAAGTAGCTACATGAAAGCCAAGACCAACATCTTCCTGTCAGAACATTGGTTTGTAACATAATCGACGTCGAACACTTTAATGGTGGATAATAAATGCATACATCCTTTGAATGTGAAAAACTTTCATGAGTTATTTTAGAACATTTATTTTTGAGAAAGTCAGCTTTTTAAAATCTTCAGTGTTTAATACATCTTACACAGCTAAATATTGTTTAAATGTACACTTTTTTTTTTTTTAAATGTGATTACAGTCACAGGAGAAAGACATAAACAACCTATCAGTACAACACCTTGTGCATTAGTAGCTGAACACATAAATACAGATTTTCTGAGTGGACTACTAACTACTTTGGCATCTGTACTAACCTTATCCAGCAGACAAGGTAACACACGTGTATTTGCGTTGAAATTACGTGAAATCAGGAGTTTGTGACTGTCCATTCATATACCGACAAGACAAAAATTCAGCTTGGTCCTTTTTGCAATGAAGAAAAGTTGTTACGGTCGCACTTTCAGTTTGGCAGAGCACATTGCTTCCCCCAGTTTGTTTCTGGCCTTGCATACATACACCCCAGAGTCAGAAAACTTCAAATCAGCCAGAACCAGAGAACAGAGCCCTTCTCCATGATGCTCTATGGTCGCTCTGCGAGATTCAGGCACCGGCTTCTCATTGTGAAGCCATTTCACCTCTGGCTGCGGATACCCTAGGATTGGAAAAAATATAAATTTACACCAAAAGAATACAAAACAAGACAAAAAAATCCTCAAATACAGAGAGCAGATTAATTTATTGTTTGTGCTAATGACTTGTGATGACTGAGGTATTTTTCTAATAATTGAGAAATGTACATGTTTAAAAATAAATGACTACATATATTGATTGTAGGCCTACGTTGTTCTTTGTACATATGTTAATCTGTTACTCTACCATTGATAACACATGTCAGCTGAGCAGCTGCTCCTACAGGGAGGGTAACGTCCTTCAGGGCCTGTTGGAAATGAGGCTCAATCTGGAGCTGGTTATCCAGCGACTGGATGGCCTCCTCTGCCTCTTGGCTCCAGCTTGGCTCTACATGAGAGTGCGGATGATGACGATGAATAACATGGAAACAAGGCTTTACTGATCATAAGAGGCTAAACTTGAAGTGACAGTCTGAAACAGCGACTCATCTGTCACATCCATGTAGATCTAGGACATGGGAGGCTATTGTGTGTATGTGTGTCCCTTTATCCATCTTACCCTCTGAGGAGTTGCCAGCAGAGACTGGGCTGCTGGTGAGGTTAGCCATTCGCTTTAGGGCCAAAACAGCCTTGCCAGTTTTCTAGAAGTTTAAAAGGAAAAATAGAATTGGTTGACCAAACCTTTTGAAAAAATGCATTGAGATTGAGGACTGATAGGAGTACTTAAAAAAATACAAAAAACAAAAAAAAAACAAAAAAAAAAAAAAAAAAAACAGGTACCTTCCACTTGCGCTTGGCCAGAAAATGCCTCATCTTCTCCTTATTGAGGGACTTGGTGGGCCTGCGGTTTAGAGGGGTGAAAGAGGCCATCCAGCTATGGGCAAGCGCCTCGGTACATGACAGCCTGCGTCTAGAGTCGAAGTGGATGGAGATAAAGGAGCAAGTGTATGTGGTTGCTGAAATGTCTGTGATATTAATATTCACAGTTGGTCAGACGGTTTAGTAGTACTTAATTTATTGAACTACAAATGGATGTTTCTGATGGGGAAAGGCAAAGGCATTCAAACCTCCGGTCCTTTTGCAGCAGGGAACTGATAAAGTCTTTAGCTTGGTCAGAGATGTCCTCAAAACTCTCTGGGTCAAACTCGTAGCTGGCAGCAGTGACGAGAGCAAGAGTCTCAGCATCGCTGTTTCCCTGGAAGGGTGATTCTCCACTGAGTCTAGACAAGGATAAACATTATGAAAGCAAATAAGCTTCCACAGAAATTACACATCCTCATTTGAAGCTCCATTACCCAAAAATGGTATTATATTGTTGCACCCCTTCTGCCTGCAGAGCTTCCCTAATTCTTTGAGGCATACATTCACCAAGGTCCCGGAAATATTCCTCAGATTTTGGTCCATATTGACATGACAGCATCACAGAGTTTCTGTAGATTTGTTGGCTGCACATCCGTGATGTAACTTAACTCTTTCAACACAAGGTGCTCTATTGAATTGAGATCTGGTGGCTATGGAGGCCGTTTGAGTACAATGAGCTCATCGTCTTGTTCAAGGAACCAGTTTAAGGTTTATTCAGAGTGTGAAGGATGAACATCTGAAGTAATGGGTAGACTGTGATGTGCAGTTGGTATGAAGGCGCCCTCCACACTATCACAGCACCAGCCTGATGTATTGATACAAGACGGGATGGATCAATACTTTCATGTGGTTTACTATCATATGAATGTTGCAGTAAAAAATAAGATCGCATCAGGCAATGTTTTTCTAATTTTTTGGTGACACTGTGCATATTGTACCTCAGTTTTTTTGCACTTAGCTGGTAGGAATGGTACTCAGTGTTGTTTTCTGCCACTGTAGCTCATCTGCTTCAAGGCAGATACATTCATATCGTTTTTCCATCCATTCTTGTTAGGGCTCATACCAAGGAAGCAACAGTAGATGGCTCACTGATGCCACTAGACTCAATTGTAGAAGAATGTATAATGGCACCAGGATGCCAGGAACATGTGTACATTGTCCCTTTGAAATAAATTTAACTGACACACTGGTACACTGCAGTTTTACTTACAAGATGAAGCAGATAACTCCAATGCTCCACATATCAGTTTCCAGGCCCACAGGCTCATAGCCGATAACCTCAGGAGCCACAAACTCCGGCGTGCCATGCATCACCATCAGCGACTTACCCTCCTCTGAAGAAGACAAGAGTTTTTCAGAATGTCACTCTCAAACTTATCTTACAATTAGAAGATGACCTGCTCTACCTCCTGAGCTACATCGACAGAGCTGCAGATGATATTTGTTTCTTTTAACTTATTTACAGAAGGCTCTAATCACCTCTAAACAGACCACCCACTCTGGAGCTGCTGCATCTGGAGAAAAACGCTGAAATTTCCCGCATGAATTCGCTCCACATGCCTTGATACCTTTACTGAGTTAAAGTAGCAGCTCGGCAATTATCTATTTAAAGACCTGTAGGGATGTGACATGCATTGTAGATCTCTAGGAATTTAGACACTCCCTGGTGTTATCTTCATGCATGCATGCTGTGTTATTCTTCTTGCGTTTTCAAACTAAAACATGGAAAAGTTCAAGAGGTTGAAAGCGTACGAAGATATATTTATGAGTAGAAAACTCTGTCAGGAATGATGAAAAACCTTTAGCGGTGGCATTCTTTCATCCAAATCGAAACATCTGGTCTGGTCTTTAGCACTATGTGCAATATGTGTCTTAAGAGTATAAACAAGGCCTTCCCCTTTTGAACTGTGCACTGATAATGATATACCAACCAGTTATGCAAGTTTTTTTTCTTTTCTGTACCTAGTAGGACATTTCAAAATCTAGTATCAAACTCACCCAGTTCAGTAGCCAGACCAAAGTCGATGATTTTGATGCGGGTACCAGTTGTATCCACACAGACGATGTTCTCTGGTTTGAGGTCCAGATGAATGATATTCTGTTTGTGAACATACTGCATGCCCTCCAGGATCTGCTGCATGTAGCGGGCACTGGTGGGCTCTGTGTGCTCAAAGTTTTCATCCACGATGCGTTCAAAGAGCTCTCCACCTGCGATGCTAGGCAGGCAAATAACCATTCAGGGGCATGCAATGGTATGTGACCATCAAATTTGAACTTCTAATAGATGTAATGCATTTAACCTCTCGTAAAATACCTTCTACCACCACAAATCCCCTAATGATATCTTTAAGTGGAGTGTACCCACTACAATAGAGAGGTTTGCTTTTACTAAACTAAGATGACTTACTACTCCATGACCATGACCATCTCTGAACGACTATCATATGCAGCCAGACACTGCACGAGTTTTGGATGGTGAAGCTTGTTCATTAGTTCAATCTCTTTGCGAGCCGCTTTCCTCTCTTTCATGGTCCGAGCTCTGTAGAACTTCCCCGCACACTCCTGACCCGTCTCTTTTTGGGTTATCCGGTACACCTCACCAAATTTTCCTCTGGAAATGTGAACATTTAAAACAAAAACATTAAGGGAGGGTTCTAATTCCTCACGACTGAAAGTGTTAGATATGGATGCACAGTTAGAGATGCTTACACTCCCAGCTTCTCATGCACATTGTAGTGGTCCCTGACTTTATTTTGGGTGTCAGGGGTCACGATGACATATGACTCAGGCTCCGCTTTCCTTTGCTCTTTTAACACAAATAAAAGAAATGACAAAAAAGACATCTCGCAACCGGTACCACCAAAATACTACTTAGGAAATAAAAACAAAATCAAATTTTGCTATAAATCATGCAGATATTGTACTCACTGGCAGTTGCCATCTTGACACAACCAGACTCCTGACTCGGTTCACTGATTCCTGCAGAGTTATAAGCCCTGATTCGGAAGCGGTAACGTCCCAGAGGCTCCAGTCCTGACTGGACGTGGTAGGATGTGTTCTTACAACGACTTAATTCAGTCCAGCTCTCAGATTTGTCCGAGCTCTCCTTAAAGACCTCCAAGATGTACCCCAAAATTGTCGTGCCGCCGTCGTAGTTGGGGCCAGACCAGGACAGAACCAGGGACTGAGTGGATAGCTGGGAAACAACAGGCTGGGATGCTGGCGGATTGGGTCGGTCTGAGGAGAAATGTAACATTTTCGAGAAATTGCTAATATCCAAAGTCTCTCTGTGGGCATTCGTGTCAGGAATTTATCTCACCTACAACACTGAGGGAGATGGTGTGCTGAGCAGAACCTGCTCTGTTGCGTACAATGACTGTGTAGGAGCCTGCGTCCTTTGGATCAGCATGAAAGATCTGCACACTGCTATGATTTGGCGTGGTCCTGATTGACATCCGCTGTCCTCCGAATATAGCCTGGAGTCAGAGACGGCCAGAAGTGTAAGTTAAGACAAAGGTAAAATTATGGATAAAATGTTAAAAAAAGCCCAACCAGTCTAACATTCTTACCTTATCCCTGTTGTAAATCCAGCAGGAAGCTACAGGGAGAGAGCTGGACTTGAACTCACAGCGCAGTAGGGCCTGCTCAGCTACTCGAACCTCCACCTGCTCTGGTGGGTCTACAAACTCCACAGGAGGTCCTGAAGAAAAGCAGAGCTAGTTTGTGTCCAAGAAAAAAATAATAATAAAGCCTGAGCTAAGTGCTGTTCAATACATAATGTGGTTCCTACCTTTACTGGTTGGTACCTGGTTTTGAAGACTGATTTCTCTAAAATCTGTGGAGATTGAGGAAGTAGATTGGATTCACAGGTGTGCTATCATGTGAGAATTTAAAAAGGAACTAACCAATGGCAGTGAAGCAGTCAAGTTTGGTTGAACTGGCAAACAAGATTTTTTGTATAGTTGTAAATAAGCACATGCCAGAAATGGGATAGACTGCAACAGTTCTTACTTACAGCCTGCTTAAAACTGAAATTTAAAAACCAAACACACAACATTTTGTTTGTTTTGTCGGCATGCATGTTTCCTCTTCCCTGCCCTCTATTATCATGAGCATATTTGCTATAAATTTGCATTATTTTCACAGGATTAATAGCATTCATGGCAGGAATAAAAGCAGAACAATTGGGGATTTTAATGCGTGTGTAACATTAAAAAGATTTTAAGGAAGTTAAACGAGTGGTCATCATTGAGCCTACCATTGTCCCTTTCTTCTCTGCTTTGCCTTGCCCCTGCCGAAACTGGGAACAATTCAGCGTTTTCATGTGACACAGCCTTGAATGTGACCTCACTGCGCAGCTCACGGTTGATTGTTCCGGGAATTTCCTTTGTTGCTGTTTCATTGTTAACAGAGTGAATCAGGCTCACTGTAAACAGATCATTTCTATGCTGTTGTGCTGATTATTAGTGGCTTTTCTGGACTTGATGTTACCTTTGACATGTAACAGAGCAGCGCTCGACTGTTGTCCTGCAGGATTCTCAGCTATGCAGGTGTACCTCCCGGCATTTTTAGGTGAGCACCGGGTCAGGCTCAGACATGCAGCACCGTTTTCGAAGTTACTCGAAATGTTACTCGAACGCAGTTTCTCACCTAAACATGAACAAGTATGGTTTTATTACAGTTGTACTGAAATGCTTGAACTAATTATTATATAATTGCTTTAGTTAACAGACCTCATAGTATCATGTTATCTCAAACAGACCTCTCTGCTTTCAGACTACTGGCTTCCATGTGGGTCTTAGAGTTTCCAAAAGTAGAATGGGAGCCAGAGACACATTTAGGAGACAAACTCCCACTCTACTTTTAAGATTAGACACAAAACTTTCCGTGTTGATAAAACTTACAGTTAGAGCTGGATCAGGTGACTCCAAATTACCCTTTACTTATGCCAAGAGATGGTTTTCTTCTCCACACAATTCACTCCCCACATGTTTATGTACCACTGTCTAACTCTGTCGTTCTTCTATCTGACCATCCCTCTCTGTTTTGGGTGATATTTGAAATAAGTGTTGTATTTTCCTTTCTTAATATTTCTAGCCAGTCTGTAGACTCTTCTTCAGGGCCTAAATCACTTTCACTTTTTATGTCTGCTGGTGTTTTCTTAGATTTTGGGGGGATTTACCAGAAATTCTAGACAAACCACTCTAGTGAAATGCACGGCTGTTACATGAGTCATACAGTACTGCGAAAAAGTGTCAAGCCACCCCTCGTTTCTTTATATTTTGCTTCCAAGAAGCTGGGTTTTTTTGAAATTGTTTTCTAGAGTGATCTTGTGCAATAGTTCTCCAGGCTTCCTGAAGGTCTTTCAAATCTTTTACTTGCTTTTCTGACATGAGACTCATTGCACAACTGAGTCAGTCAAGTCCTTGCACCTGACCATTTTCAAAAGAATAGAAAAGAAGAAATGGCAATTCTACACAACTATCCATCTCATATGAAAAGGATGTTACAAATCAAGTTCTCGGGGGGAAAAAATCCAGCAAAGCCCCGGCACAGGACCGAAGAGGGCATCTCGCCTTTCAAATGATCCACCTAGTGTTCACTAATGTCTCATCAGACATGGTCTCAGTGGAAGTGTGGCTGTCAAGAAGCCAAATTGTGAAGTTACACAAATTACACAAGAAATGGACACAAAATCAAGAAATCTTATCTAGTGATGAATCCAAATTTGAAATGTTTGGTTCAAAGCATGGTCAGTATGTATGGAGATAAGAAGAGAGATACAACTGTGAGTGTCTACAGCATGGTTGAGGCTCTGCTGTGGTTTTAAGCTGCATTTCAGCCAGCAGTGGTGAAAATCCTGTCATAATATGGAATAATGTATGCAGAAATGTACCATCAGATTTTGATCCATCATGCAATATCGTCTAGAAAGCACCTGATTGGTGACAACTTCATTTTTTGGCGTGACAACGATCCTAAACACACTGCCAAGCAAACATGCCCATGATGGCCCACACAGGGCCCCAAGGTTTGCTGTGTGAAAGCATATCTGAATAGAAAACACACAATGGAACACTATTCATCATAGATCATCAGTCTATCAGTCTCCCCAGAGCCTGGACCTCAACATTACTGTAGCATCATCTTAACAGAGAACAGAACAAAAGGCAGCCAACATCCAAAGAAGTCCTTCAGGAAGCCCAGAGAACTATTCCTGAAGACTGCTTAAAGCTATAACAAGAATGCTGTGTTAAAGAATAAAAGTGAAAACTTTCCCCTTACATACTGTATACTGTATGTTTGCATGTTTCACTAAATCACTGCACCTATTTCGAGGGGTGGCTCAATACTTTCCACAGAACAGCAGTATATAAAGGATTTCTGTCAATAATTATCAATCAGCAATCAATTCAAAAGGCTGATCATGCTGTATTTTGTGCGTTTCCAATGTTTGTACCAAAGTTGTATAAGAATACAATAAATTCCTGCATTCCAGATTACAGTAAATAACTGTAATTTATATAGTAGATTACTGTAAAAGTTACAATAACCTGGACTTGAATAAAGTACAACATCTCCTACATGTAATCAGTCACTTACCATTGTATAGCCAGGAAATGCTCATCGGTTGGCTCCCTGTGATAACACCTTTAAAGGCAGCATCACTTCCTGCACAGACAGTACAGTCTCTGAGTGGCTCTTCAAAGCGAGGTGCTTCCAAACTCTGAACTTGTGCCTGTTTGGCATCTTTACAAAGAAAAAGGTGAAAGACAAAGGGTTTAGTTTTCACATATTTTTGCTTGTCACTGACCCAATCAGAACAGAGCATCTTATCAAACCCTAAATCACTGCCTCATGTTTTGTGTGTGTGTGTGTGTGTTGCCAAAAATGTATTTGAAGATCACTATCTTCCACTGAGTCTCAGTTCATCTGCTGTTTGAGTAATAAACACAAGTTACAGCTGTGAGCGGTGGGGAATTTGATGTCGTGTTTTTTTTTAAAAATGTGTGTTTGCACTTGTTTATTTTGGTGTTGGAATGTCCAGCAGAGTGGGAAATGGGTGGCTGCCAGTGGATGGAGGACTGCCATCAGACTGTGTACATTAGGGGGATGAGGGGAGGGGGTGGCGGGCTGTCTATATAGTTTACAAAGTAGAGCTTCTTCTTGTCCTTTGCAGCGCTCTGTGACGGTTTTAGGGCAGGGTAGGGATAGCTCAGTAGGTAAAGTGGTCGCCCCATGATCGGAAGGTCGGCCGTTCGAATCCACTTAACGGCTACCCTGAGGTACCCCTGAGCAAGGTACCGTCCCTACACACTGCTCCCCGGGCGCCTGCTTAGTGGGCTGCCCACTGCTTCACTGAATGAATTGGTCAAATGCAGAGAAAAACAAGTAATTTCCCCATGGGCATCAATAAAGTATCCATTATTATTGTTATTATTATTTTAGTTAAAACACAGACAAAAGGGGTGCACCCGGTGAGACATGTTCTATTTTTTAGTTCAAATGCACTAAAGTTAACATTTCACATCTTTTTCAAGGCCTTACCTGATGCAGATGAAAATCTCAGTTTGTTTCCCACCAACTTCCTCTTAATGTTACCCAGTCCATTCTCTTTCTGTTGGTTCGGTTGAGGCTTGAGGGCAAATCGTAAGGTGGACACAAAAGTCTTTGGTGCCTTCCCATCTTGGTCCATCTTTGATTTCAGATGATAGCAAGTCAGCAGCTGTAGATCAGGCACTCATCTAGGCCTCCTGTTCTTCTCTTAGTTGCGTTTAGGCTCGCTCCATCTAGAATCCTTGTGTGAATCTGATGTGTTGCATGCTCACCCTGTCTGCATTCGCACGTCCTTTGAGATGCAAACAGGAGGAGCCACTGCTTTCCTCTGAAATCACTGCCTCCCCCTCTGCCCCAAAGTTCACAGGAAAAAGGTCAGTTTTATCAGACGGATAATTAGAAGCACACATGTCCAGCCCCCACTGACCCTCTGCTCCGAGAACAGAAGGAAAGACAGAAACACATGTGACAGAAAACAAAGGAGGCACTAAGAGAGGTTAGGAAATGTGTGGGAGGAAGAAAACACTCAAGCTGAAGAGAAAAAGAACGCAATAAGGTGAGGATTAAAAGCAACACAAACCAAAGGAGAGTAAAAAAACACTTACCTGCATGAATATAAATAGTATTTCTTCTCAAACCATGAGTATAGTTCCCACAATCAACTTCCTTGAGCCATTTTACTCTCTTATATTTCCCCGCGGAGCCACACCGCCAGAGCCCCCGCAGGAATCAAGAAGAGCCAGTAGGACAGCTTTTTCTACTGTGCATTCACTCAGGTGAGCAGCACACAACATTGAAACATGTCACTGAAGTGAATCTCTGTAACTGTGGGTTTGTGGGGTTGACTTTCTTTTACAGAAAGTAGAGACCATGTGACCACACTGAGCACCACTGGTAAATGAGACACCTTTAATTCTATATGGGAAAGCTGCTGGTTGGGTGTGTCTCCAAGGTGTGCTTTCATTTCTCTATTGTTGAACAGTTGCCAGCTATAGACTGGTTTTCTCTGGTCTACCTTACGGCCATGTGAAGCTCGTTTAAATGCCTTCAGGGCTTTCTTTTCTTTCTGATACTACTCTGAAAGTGTATCTTATTATTGAGGGTACTAACCTATACTTGTGTTTAATTTAAAATTCTGAGACCAAAAATGATTCATAATATAGTAGATGTTAATACAATTTCCATAAAAAAGTAATATTCTTATGTAAGTGCAAAAACCTTATGAACCCATCTAGACGACCCAAATACTGATACATAATTGTGCATGTGCAGCGCTGCTACTGCTGCAGATTTTATAGCGCTATAGGGACCTGACCTCTACTGTACATCATCAAGAGCTGTTATGTGCTCACATAAAACCGGTTATGTAAACCGGTTGATGCTGACCTAATTGTGGCTGAATGATTATCAGAACAAGCAAATCAAATTCTTCTTCTGCCTTGCATTCAACACCAACAACAGGTTGAGCAACAGCCTATCGACATGCATCAAACAAACCCCTATAATGTGTTTTTCTTCCTCCGTGCAAGAATGTAAGGAAACGATTACATGGGCTGGTATTTGTAAGTGTTCCCATATGGCTGAGGCGCACAGTTTACATCAGACAAATCTCCACTGCTCAAAGCATACAGATTGATGGAGCAGACCCATGAATGATTAACAGGGTACTGATGGTGACAAAGGGCAGGTACTGGAATGCAATGCATCAGTTTTACAATTCTTACAATATCTTAAAATGTATGTAGATGCTGTGCTTTTCTCTAAAATCTAAAGATAAAAACAGAAAATACACCATGCACGAAGAGATGTTTCTGTCTTTCTTAATCGAATCTCATATTATTTAGAAATAAACCATATGTGATCGAAAAGAAACTGTTTAATGCAATCAGCACATGCGCTTTATGAATCCATCTACTATAGGATAACATCATTAATGTACAAAATACAGTTAGCTTGATAATTTGCAGGACAAAAGACACAATTTTGTGATTTAACCTCAGTGGATTTTAACTCAAGCAGTCAATGTGCAACTGAAGTGCAGACTTCAGATTTATGTAACCCTCCCAAAATCAATATATTACGGATCTAAAAAAAAAACTTAAATACTAGACTTTAGGCAGTCTATGACTGTCTAGAACAGGGGTGTCGAACTCCAGGCCTCGAGGGTCGGTGTCCTGTAGGTTTTAGATATCACCCTAGGTCAACACACCTGAATCAAGTGATCAGTTCATTACCAGGCCTCTGGAGAACTTCAAGACATATTGAGGAGGTAATTTAGCCATTTAAATCAGTTGTGGTGGATCAAGGACACATCTAAAATCTGCAGGACACCAGCCCTCGAGGCCTGGAGTTCGACACCTGTGGTCTAGAATGTCATGAATTTCCCTTGAGATGCTCAGTTAGGCCTTTACTGCAGCCACCTTCAGCTGCTGCTTGGTTGTGAGTCTTCATGCATTCAGTTGTGTGTTTAATAACTGAAACACATGCTCTGCTGGGTTGAGATCAGGTGACTGACTTGGGCATTGAAGAACGTTGTTGCCTTGAGCAACTCATAGGGCTGCAACATTGTCCTTCATCTTGAAAAAGTCTTGTGTAGCTTTTATTATCCACACAGAGGCAAAACTAAAAGAAAGTGTGTCTTTGTCCAACAACTTATGTATATTCATTAATTTTTCATTAATATTCATTAATATCCAAGACAGCACAGCCTTAGAGTCCAAGCTCATTCCTGACTAATGATTCTTATCAAGCGGAAGTCACATAAGCTTTTGACGAAGTGCCCTGGAATTCAAAACAGGAAAAGCAAAGAGAAGGAAGGACGATGTTCTCCGTCCCTGACTGACTACTCCATCTATGGTAATGATTTTTCTTCCTGTTCTCATGACGTGCTTCAAAGACATGCAGACTATGTTGTAATCATTTTGCGTCCTGTTCCCACAAACTCCTTCAGAGACATGCAGACTCCATCTCTCCATCACTCTGTGACATCGAAGCAATGGAAGTCCAAATATTAGTGAATGTCAGTGTTATTACAGTTAAATGGTTGGAAATGGAGCCCCCCTGTGGCTATATGCCTCGCACTGCAGAGGTGATAAAATCTGCCATTGTTTACTTTGCTGAAAAACTAAATTCGCTGGTGTTTAAGATCCATCTGTGAGAATATTTAAGTTCATCCAAGTCCTGGGTTTAACTTTTTCAAGTCATGAAAATTGACTGCTTTGCTAAACTATCAGCACTGAAGCAGACTTCACTCAAGTAATCTCAAATATTCTTCTTTATCCTGCAGGCAAATAAGAACAAGCAGATAAGGCTCCACGGACAGAGACTCGGTGATGAGAAGAAGGCAGACAAAACCACAGGCATGAGTGAACACAAATGACTTGTGATGCAACAGATAAACCTGCCTCCTGACTGACAGCCAACCCTCTGATAGTTCTCTAATGATTACTGCTTCTTGAAGGAAACCTTTAGACAGACGTTCAAAGAGCCTGCAATCCGGTGGTTAAAGGGAAAAACAGAAAAATATGATGCAGCATTGTTCTTCGCAGGTCGAGGCAGTCTGACCTGAGCTCTGAGAAAGCAGGAGAGGGAAAAGAGCAAACATCAAAGAAGAACGAAAGAGGAAGGAAGAAGGAAAATAATACAAAAAGATGTGAGAAACAAAGAGAACTCTGGCAGTGTGCAACAAGCATCTCTGCCTCTCATTTCGAGGTCACTGTGAATCGAGCCAGGCGGCCTGTGATCCACGTGTTGGTGGGGAAGCTGTGAGAAAGAGCTTGGTCTGCAAACAGAAGGAAGGAGCCCTGAAGAAGCAAGATCAGATAATCACAGTTGCTTATATATATTTCTTGAGACAAAAATGCAGATTTTATTTATCTGTATCTGGACTTTAACAAAATTAAAAGAATAATACTGAATAAAAATATTCCAGCATTTAGAAAAATTGTTGTGGTAAAAGTTTGTTTCTTTTAATTGGGATTTTAATAAGAATACAGAAACAAACACTTAAATTGCACCTTTTTGTTTAGTGTTTAGTGTTATGGCATGTTATTTTAAACATACTAGTCATGAAAATTGATCTGCTTCAATAATATTCACACAACAGTGTCTACACTGCAGGGGATATGTATGGATTATGATTGTGAACTACAAAACACACCGCATACAGAAAATGATCAAAATGAGACAAAATAGTCACAATAAAATCTAAATAATCTACAGAGATCAAAGAGCTCTGAAGACTGGTTACAGACGATCCTGCACTTCACCTGAAGGTCCCAAAACACCTACAAAGAGAGGCAGAACATCTGCAAACATCTGCCACATAAATGTTTAAAAAGACAAAACATCTTCATATTTGGGGGCGACCTTTTAGATTTATAGATGTTTGTCGAGTGAAATTCCCAGTATTTAAATAACCGTATATTACGGCGCAGTTTGTATTCACTGATGTGTGACGCCTCTATGCAAAGACGGGCTTGATGCATTCAAAAGATACCTACATCAACTTGAAAGCTATCGGGCTGCCGGTTCATTTCCATAGGGTCATATGACACACTCGCCACTGAATTGCACTCTATTCACCCTGACTTGACCTGTATTTGGATTGAGGGAAGTCTGCAACCTTCTGGATTCACTTATTTATTATTTGCTCAGACCACCTCAAAATGTGCAGTGTCTTCGGCATCAAGTGTTGTTTCATTTTCTTCAACACGCTCTTCTTGGTGAGTAATAGAGCAATTCTATTCTATCTAATTTTGATGAGAAGTGATGATTGACAGCACTGATTGGTGATATCATGGAAAGATTAGAATCAATAAAGAGCAGGAGTAGTAGAGGTAACGAAAGAATAAAGCCAAAATTGAATCACTCATATCTTTTTAGAAGTCCAGGAAACTTTGACTGCATGCCGGATTATCCAAGGGAAGATACACATGCAACAAGAGACTTGATTTGCCCTTCCAAATTTCCAAAACACACTCATATTAAGCCGTTTTGTGGGGTTGTAGCAGCTGAGCTGAGCAAAGGGAACTTTAACAAATTTAGAAGCTAATCAGTATCATCGCCAGATAAACCTGCACGGTGTCCTGTGCACGCTTCAGAAATTTTATGCCCTAAATACTAACTGGTGCATGACGTGTAACCCACACAGAGTAACCTTTATGAAATATATCTATTTTAAAAATATTTCAAGAAAAATGTCATACTTTTGAGATCTATTATTAAGGTTGATAACTTTTTGTGGCAGCAATACACACATTCAAATTTTATGAAATGCAAATAACGCCGTGTTACGCTGAAGATGAGGATGTCACACACTGGTAGGCAGTCAGTGAGAGCACACAATCCAATTACAAAGCTGTCAAAGGGCAAAAATCCAATAACAGGCAACGGTCGTATGATTATAAAGGACAAAATAACATATACTAACACAAGTACTCTTGAGCTTCAGGGCACAAACTGATGGCCAGAAATTCTCCTTCATGATTTTCTCATCCAGGTCCTGAAGTAGCAACAAAGCCCCAGACCATCACAGACCACCACCATGTTTGACTGCTTGTGTGATGTTTTTTTTAAAATAAAATGTTGTGTTATTTTTATGTCAGATGTAATGGGACTCAAACCTTCCAGAAAGTTTAGCTTATGTCTTTTCCATCCACCGAATATTCAC